ACTATAATGTTTAATTTTTTACTTACTTAGAGCTTTAACACTTTGTTTTGGAGACATTTTATATTATGTATTGTTTGAGTACTATGAACTTTTAATTATTAAAAATGTTTAATGCATGAATTTAGAGTTATTTTTTTTGTTTTTTAGCTTTTATATATATATTATTAATTATTTAATATATATAAATTAATATTTAAATAGCGGTTATCCCGCTCCGCGTCATCCCGCTATCCCAGTTTTAGGGTCGGCCGCTCCGCGCCGCTATCCGGGATTGACTACTATGAGATTAACACTGACCACTTATTACATAAGCACTAAACTTTCATTGCTTTGCCTCCCTACATGTGTGTTTAGTGGAGATCTATTCTGGAAACTGGGACATGTCATTTTGCATTGATCTTTCAGCTTCATTTCGCTTGACGTTAAAGATTAGATGAAAAATGCTTGAGTGATTCAAGTCTCACTCAGCAGATCATTGTATATATATAAAAAACAATAATGATTACAAGGTTACATAGGGAGATAAAATGTCAAATCCTAAAGTATGAATACAAAGAAAAAACAGTGCACATGAACATTAATATTTTATGTCTGTCCGCCAAAGGAGATTTTCCAGAAAGTTTGATGGTCTCCAGGAGCCTGACATTTGTCAGAAAGTCTGACATCTGCCATAAAGGTAGCCAGAGATTCTGAAGGTTGCTGGTAAAGTTGCCAGCAAATTTTGACAGTTGCTGGAAAATTCTGACAATCACAGGAAAGGTTCAGTTGAATTTTTGGATGTCTAAACAGCTTTCAAGATACCAGTTAGACCTCTCTTAGACTTTTTGCCGAAGGGAAATTTTCTGAATGTGCATGAGTGAATTGTCCACTCAGCCGATTGATCTATTTCTAATAAGAATGGTTACATAGACAATAATTGACTTCAACTATTTTCAAGAGAACAATTAAAATATCACAACTTACTAATATACATTTAACTCGGCTAAACACTAAATAAGCTAATTGGATGGGTAATAACTGTCAGATAAGTTGGCTTTTTATGCCTTTCTAATTCCCTTCTTCCAAATAAATAGTACAAAGCTATTTACAATTATTTATGATAGAATAAATCTAATTCCTAATTTGTAGGAATTCTAATTATATACAATAAATAAATTGATTGCTATTCCTAAAATACATAATATATAATAGGAAATAGTAACAATAATTGATTCCCTCATTAACACCCCCCCCCCCCCTCAAATTGATGTGGTTGATCAAGAAGCATCAATTTTTGATGTTGTGGACGAGGAACCACCTTGGTAAATATGTCTGCAAGCTGAAGTTATGAGGTGATATGAGGAAAGGAGATAACATGATTGTCCAAAGCCTCCCGAATAGAATGACAATCCACTTCATTATGCTTAGTGCTCTCATGAAAGACTGAATTGGTAGCAATTTGAGTGGCACTAGTGTTGTCAGAGCATGGATAGGTGTTGCATCTATTTGATGGAATCCGAGCTCAGCCAAAAGACAACGAAGCCAAATAATCTCAAAACAAGCTGTTGACATAACCTGATACTTAGATTCGATGGAGGACTTAGGGACACGAGACTACTCTTTTACTTTTCCAAGAAATCAATGCAGGCCCAAGGAACATACAATAACTAGTGACTGATCTCCGGGTATCTGAACAACCAGCCCAATCAGCATCACTATATCCCACCAAGGTAGTTGGGAAGCCAATAGGAAAGAAAAGACGAGTAGAGGTACCTTTCAGATAATGAATAATTCGATGAACAATAGCTAAATGATGATGACGTGGAGTGTGCATAATTTGACTCACCTGTTGAACTGCAAAAACAATGTCAGGGCGGGTGATAGTCAAATAATTAAGGCTACCTACCAATTGTCAATATAGTAAAGCATCTGATAGAAGATCACCCTCATCATGGTGATATTTGACATTAATCTCAAAGAGGAGTATCCACCGGTGTAGCAGAGTGTAGACCCGCGAGAGAAATCAAGTCTTCAACATATTTATGTTGACGGAGAAAGATACCTTTAGAGTCCATAGAAACCTCGAGACCTAAGAAATAAAGAAGAGGATCGAGGTCTTTCATATGAAAAGGAGCCTTGAGCTGCTCTTTAAGGTGCTGGATGGATGTATGATCAGAACCCATAATTACCATATCATCAACATAAATGAGAAGAACAATACCAGTTGTCATATGGTGAATGGATAAAGAAGAATCATATTGACTTTGGACAAAGGAGAATCCAAGAAAAGTGGATCGAAACTTCTCAAACCATGCCATAGGAGCTTGTTGCAGGTCGTATAAAGAGCATTCTAGCTTGCACACGTTAGTTGAAGGAGAAAACAAGCCCTGAGGTGGAGTCATGTAAATATCCTCTAAGGTCACCATGAAGGAAGGTATTCTTCACATCCATTTGATGAAGTGACCATCGTTGAGAGGATGGAAGTCATTTTTGCTACTGGGGAAAACATCTCTTCATAATCCATCCCATATTGTTGTTTGTTACCCAAAGCGACCAATTGAGCCTTATAACACTTAAGAGAGCCATCAAAATTCAACTACACAAAATACACCCATTTGCATCCAATAGGCTTAACACTGGGTGGGCAAGGAATAATGTCCCATTTGAAATTCTCCTACAAGGCTTGGAGCTCCTCTTGCATTGCTTTCACCCAAAGGGCATCCTTAACTGCTTGTGAATAACATGTAGGAATAGATATGCTAGATAGAGTAGTAGTAAGAGAAATAGACCCAAATGCATACCTATTTGGAGGACGAATAATGTGTCGTGATCCGCATTGTGCTAACGAAGTGGGTTCAGGTGGCGGATCAGCATCACGAAGGGGTAGGATAGGCTGGTGTCGGACATAAACATGACCTGGTTTGGAGCGTTCTATAGGACGAGAACCATTAGAAAAATTGGGAAGGGTAACAAAGCCATTAGAAGTAAAAGGAGACTGAAAAAAATATTGATGATCAAAGAAAACCACATTTCGAGATGTGCGAAAGCGAGAAGCATTGGCATCATAACACAAATCTTTTGAGTAGGACTATAACCAGAAAAGCACATCGGACAGATTGAGCCCCAAGTTTATGACAATCAAGAGGTGGTAAGTGGACAAAACAGACACAAACAAAAGGATGGAGATTATGGTAATTTGGATGAGCATTAAATAGACGAAAGTAAGGGGAATCAAGCCTAAGAACCTGAGATGGAAGACGCTTGATCATAAAAACAGCAGTTGATAAGGCTTCAACCCAAAATTTAGGTGGAATAGAGTTGTCAAGAAGTAGAGACCGAGTGACATCCTTGGTCAATGCATCGTTATCTGTGGGGGCAGTAGAGGACCCGTCGATGTGACCCCACATCCGTTTCCCTTTCACGAACATCTTGAACTAAAACTCCTAGGTAGCATAATTTTTTTCCATTGAAACAGATACAAAGATTCTCCATAGCCATGAAGACACAAACAAGAACGAAAAAAACCGAACCCTAAATGAAGAACCAAGAGAAAGAGGATTGATCGCATGAACAGATATAGATATTCGTTGAACGCACAAACCAGAATCAAAAGCACGAACCCTAAACGGACTCAAAGACAATCACAGTCTAGGAAACCTGACTTGTGATACCATGTCAAATAAGTTGGCCTTTTGATGCCTTTCTAATTCCTTTCTTCCAAATAAATAGTACAAAGCTATTTTCAATTATTTATGATAGAATAAATCTAATTCCTAATTTGTAGGAAGTCTAATTATATGCAATAAATAAATTGATTGCTATTCCTATAAAATACATAATATATAACATGAAATAGTAACAGTAATTGATTCCCTCATTAACAACAACACTAAATGCTTCTGTTTCCAATTCCAACATTTTTCATAAAAAGATACACCAAGTTATTTGGGGTTTAGGGTGTAAGTATTCACATCCAATGAACCAACTGATTCCTACCTAATTGCTACTCACATTCGTATCCAAGTAGTTAATGAACTGAAATAAGTTAATTTATAAACTAAAAAAGTTAATTTATAATATCCGTAGTTAGTGAACTGAACTAAATTAATTTGTAATGCAACAACATCATCATGTCCTTGATACTTATTAATATTTTTGCTTTTGGCCTTCCCATGTCTCAAACTACACTTAATATCTCTTCACAATCTTCATCTTCACTTTGGCTTTTCTACTTTTTTACCCAATCAACATACCCCTTATACTTCAGTTGACCACAACAATAGCATCATCATCCTTAGGCACAGTCATATTTATTTATTTCTTTAATTGTGTTAAGAGAATCTCTCTACGAGGGCTTACTTCTAAAATATATATTATGCAGTGTTCATCTGAATCTCTTTCTATATGTACATTTGCTGTGTTTTTATGTAATGTGTAAACCTATAATTTTTTTTTATTGATTTGAATTTTTAAATCTTCATGGTGTGGATGGTAATATAATTTTTTGGTTTTAATTATTTCTCTTCTCACTGAAATTTGTTTTCAGATTGCTAGGGAGATGGTTATCAGCCCTCAAAATAAAAAGTCGGGGTTAATAGCTTTAACAAAAAGGGTTGGCTTAGTGGATCGACCAGACAACCCAGATGGAGAGTTGATAAGATATAGAGTATAGTCCTTTAAAGCACCAAATATATAGTGTTTACCTTTCTCTGTAATGTGAAAGTAATTCCCTTTTTTTTTTCTTCGTGTTTAGTGGGATGACCCTCAAGTAATTCCTGCCGATATGACACCAGAGGTGTCTGAGCTTTTCACAAGGGAGTTGACAAGGGTAATTCAGCTTTGCTCACCCCGTCTTTGTTGTATGGCATTTGAAAGGAGCTCTAAGCTTATGCAAATTCTTTACTCTTGATCTAATAAAGGCTCGTGGTTTTTGTAACTGGTGTTTTGTGTAAAACAGATGTTACAAAAATGATGACATAGGATAAACTTGACATTTTTGTGCAGAAAGCAAGAAAGAGAAAGCTAATCAAAATGGGGACTTCGTTTTTATTACTAAATAATCAAGAGGGAAATAAATATTATAAAAAGTGGAACATTTTTAAAAAAATTTTAAAATTTCCATGTAGTAAAGAAATGGGTTTTCTTATGCTTACTACAATTATTTTCTCAGTGATTTTACAATAATTTTGACTGTTTTAATGGTTTAATTGATGTCATGACAGTACATTGAAGAAACTGAAGAACTTGCAATGAATGCTTTAAGGAATAATAGGCACATCCTGGACTTGATTGTGAGGGAACTGTTGGAGAGGTCAAGAATAACTGGATTGGTAAGCTATTCTACTATTTCTTCTGTCAGTTTTTCTTTTTTATACTTTTGTTTCCCTTATTTCGAAGACTAACTCCCACAAATGCATAAAGTTGTTCCATGGAGATCTGGGAATGGTTTTATATCTCGCACTTCTTCTGTTACAATAGCCCTTTTGGCTTAAGGTGTGGATAACGTCCCTAGTTTACCTTGGGTAATCAGAGTGGCTAGAATCAAACTCATGACCATTTGGTCTTGACTTTCTCAAGCCTATTTTTCCCTTCTTCTCTTTTGATGCTTTTGGCCTGATTATATCATTTTATTTTCCTTTCCCCTCATTTGTGTAAAATTTTATGTTGTGTTTCCCTTTTTAATTATCTTTTATTGTATGCATCCATAGGAGGTTGAAGAAAAATTGAAGGAACTGTCTCCAGTAATGTTTGAGGACTTTGTGAAGCCATTCCAAATAAACCCAGATGAGGTACTTTTTTTCTCTACTGCTTAATGTGATTAAGTGTCTGGATACACTTTGACACTGTTATATATGACATGCATATGCTGATATCGCAGCAGAATTGCATGACTCACATTTATTATTATTATTATTATTATTTTTATTATTATTATACATGAATACATTTTTTGAGGGGTTGACTTGAAAGATGACTGCTGGTTTATTTAATTACTCACTCTACCCTCTGTCTTCTGGTAATTTTTGCTTTCTCTATTTACTTTATTTTCTTGCTTGGTTTTTAATCCGCAAATTTTTAATTAGCACTGGAATTTCTTGACTTATTGTTCCTCGTCAATAAGAGGACATATATCATTGTTTGTTACGAAATCCCACCATTAGTTAGTTAGAGCTGGTTAGAGAGGATTAACAGCATATAAATAACAGGAAGGAAAAAAGAGACGGCAGTCTTTGGTTTTAGAGTGGAAATGGAGAGGAGGGAGAGTTCAGGTCTCAATTATATGGGAGGTTAGAGACAGAGTGATCTTAAGAATTGTATCATATTGGGTCTTTGTTTGGTATCACATTGATACGTATTAAAGGCAGTTTCTGCAAGGTTATGGATGAAAATAAGATAGACTATTTGTCTATGGCCTTGCAGCGTACATCCACCATGGGCCTGACTCAGGCTTTTTCAAAAGTTCGTTTAATTAAAAAAGTTAGTCTTTTGGCTATCCAAAATGCTTTTTAGGTCTAACAGATTAGCCTATTTGAGTAAATATAAACAATGTAATAATAATATCATTTTGTAGGCCTATATTATTATTACTATTGTAATAAACTTTTAAGTTAATATTTTAAGATTATATAATTGTCTAATTTAAAGGCTTAACTCCGCTAACTTACATTTAAGTTTAGACCCATTATTTAGTGGAAAGCTTTTGGCCTTTTTACAAAGTTCTTAAATAGATTTGCAAGTCCAACTAGAACCTCAAGTCAGGCCCTAAAAAAGGACCTACATCAAGTAAACAGGCCATACTTGATCGTTTGAATTAGGCAACAAGTCTTGCAAAGCTTAGCCCTTCTTTGCCAATTACCACCCCGAAAATTGAAGGTTTTTCCATTTCCTGAACCAGTTTTTAAATTTTCTCCTTGTGATTATGCCTTTGTTGCAACTGTTTAACTTTGCAACTCATTTGGAACTATGCTGCTTTTCATTTCCCTCAGAGCAATGCAATAATTTTAGTTTTATCAATGTAGGAGGGACCATTACCGCATAATGATCGTCTACGGTATCAGTTACCCGACTTATATCCGGCTCCTCTCCATAGATGTTGACACATTGACATTCAGATCTTTATGTTACAACCTCACCTGCAACAGTTCTATTGGGGACACAAAAGGGCGTTTTATGTTGATGACTTCTCCATAGAAATTCAACTTCAACCCCACATGGACACATTTATGGGACAAATAGGGAATCAGGAGAACATAGTGGAGCTGTGTAAATTGCTCATATTTCTTTTCAATGGGCCAATGATTTATCTCATCTGATGAATTCTTTATGCTGGTAAGCCTTGGAGACATGTCAAGTGTCTACAGTCTTCAGGCATTGCCGCGTTGTCTTGCTAAATTGGATAGGCGGGGGTGCACACTTGTATACACTGCTGAAATTTTGTATTCAATTTTCGTGGTTGTACAAATTTTTATATATCATTGAGGATGAAAGTTTTAGCCCTCAATTTTAAATTATACACTTGCGAGTTTCAAGCCAGAGTCTAGTGCAATGGTTTGTACTTTTGTATAAATCTAATGATTCATCGTAATATTTTAGCTTAAATTCTAACACATTTTGGCTTTATTTTTTGTTCCAATATATGAAAATATCTTATTATATCGTGTCATATCTTAAACATCTCCTAGGATTAGTATTCATATTTTCTCGTTATTTCTTAGGGTTTTTTATTGCATTTTCTTACCTTATCAGGATTTGATTTATTTTCATAATTGGTTAGGATAATGATTAGTAAAATTAAGGATTAGTGCTCCAGGTTATATAAACATATATTTCAGTTAATTTCATGTAGTGTTTTCATTTCCTCTGTTTTCTTTATTCCCTCTTCCATATCAATAAACCTAGGTCATACTTGGTGACAGATATTCATTGAATATAAAATTATCACACAATTAGATAGGAAATTCATTAAAAAAAATAACAGAAAAAGTGAGGATTAAGAGAAATAAATCCAATTGGAAGCATCAATTAAAAATGTTATTTCTTGTGGTAAAATTATCATCGTTATCAATTAAATTTGAATTCTTTCTTCATATCAACAATGAAAGAAAATGAAATACAATAACAATTGAATATAGAAATTCACAAAAAAAAACATAAATCACAATTTCAATCTTTAATTTTCATGAATTCAAGAATAATTAACGGTAGATTTGAGTAATTAATTAGTTAATTTTGTTTAGATTGAATTAATCGATTCTAATCTAATTTAAATTTGGATTTAAAATTTAACCATAATTATGAACTAAAAAATTCAGGTCTAGAAAATAGGAGAAAAAAAAATGAAGAATTCATAAGAACTATTAAATAAGAGATCAAATTTAAATACAATTCTTGAAATATTAAACTGATAAATGGAATTAACCTTCCATTTTTATCAAGATGCAAGACTCAAATAGTCTAATGATTCAATAACCAAGTGAGAATGAGAATTTAGATAAGTTTGTAGCGAAAGTTAAATATGATGTGAATGCTAACATCTTAAACCACTAAAAATTTATTTATAGGTACTAAATTCGTGGGTCAAAATCAGCTTTAATAATAAGTAAGTTAATTATTTAATTAAAAATTTAAATTATTGTAAAATGGATCTCTAATGAAAACTTCGGACTAAATATAGAGGCACTAATTTCATTTGCAGTTTTGAGTTATTAGAGTCTAAACTGACTCTATCTTATAAGAAATGACTTTGTAGATTTGTTTTATATTTTTTAGAATCACAAAATTTGTCCGATTCTTAAATTCGTAACTCCAAATATGTTCTACACAAGACAATAATGTTAAAGTAAATTTTTTTTCCAAAAATTCACTAGATTTAAAAATTAAAATTAATTAAGCTTATTAAAATAAAACACAATCAATTTATTAATGTTAGACATTCATAAGGTCAACTAAGATCAATATAGTGCACAAATGAATATTTCAAATATGTTCTATTATTCATCATATTAATAAAATTAATTTTTTTTCTCTTTTCTTATTTTTCTAGGAGAATATTTTAGTAAAGTTAAACATTAAAAAGGACCCTTATTTATATATATACTTATTTGTTATAATTCAAACCCATTTTAATAAAACCAACAAATGTTGATAACTTAATACTAATTTTGGTTTATAATATATAAATTCGTAAACTTTAATGACTAAATTTTTCAATAAAAAATAAAATAATGATACATTGATTAGGGTGTGCACGTGCATATAACCAATACCTTAATTGTTTAAACCAAAAGTCAAGAATTAAAATATATGCATTAATGACAATTTCTACCATGAATCTCACTTCTAAGTAATTTACGGTGAAGTTTATATATGTCTTGTGAATATGGTTCACCCATGAACTAGTTATTTTAAATCGTAGGATATATTTATTTAAAAAATGAACAGATTAGATTTAATTGAATTTTTAGTTATAAAAACTTTAGTTATTATATTAAGTTTATTATATTATTTTATTTTATGTTATGAAATGTCTATTTTATCCCAAAAACACAAAATGTTCGTCTGCACTGGATCTTCCTCTCCGTGGCTTCTATCTCGGTGAAGGACTCTATTGTGAGGTGGTAGTTGCATGTGGCGAATACAAGATTCTCCATGGTCACAAATTTTCGTTTAACTCAGTCATGTAGTGTGGGCAAAAAGGTACAGAGGGGCTGCAAGGTTTGGGCCCTAAGAAGGCGAAGGGCTTCGAGGTACTGCATGTCGTTTTCATTTCCAACAATTACGTTAAAAATGAATAGGCAGGTATTGTAGGCAATTGCAAATGTCGAGCCAATCATGGTTGAATGATGTTATGAGTGTTCTTTGTGTCAATCAATAAAAGAATCAAAATCCCATTAATGGTCCCTTTGAACTTTCATGTTTGAACGAAGAAAGCGAAAACTCGTCATAGCCTGAGATGAAAGTTGCATGTGAACAACTAGGTTAGGATAAAAATCATTAGGTGTGGAATTATCAACATCAACATGACAACATAGGTTTAGGGTCATCATGGGACAAAAGTATCACAAATTTGGTGTTGAACATTTATGGCATAGATTAAACTTATCATCACAATTATAACAATCCAGCAACACGTTCGTTCTTGTAACTTTTGTGAGGATAGGCATTTAATGGGTAAAGTTGGAGGGTTGGTGGAAGAGGTGGGAAGGGATGTGATCTTGGGTTTGGTGAAATGGGAAGGGTTAGAGATCAAAGTTGAGTGAGTGGATTGGGAGTATGTGGGATGGTTGGTTATAGATTTAGAATCCTTGAACTTAGCCTACATTAATTTGGCAAATGCAAACACACTCTTCCCATTACAATCGAGTACCCTCTTTGGCCCTTATTACAACCGTGCACCCCTTTCGACCCTAGTGGCGACCGGACAGGTGAACGACCCTTCAACCTTCAAGAAAAACCACACTAGGCCTAAAACTGATTCACAAACACCTCTTCGACTTCACCCTCGCTTGAGCAATAAACATTGATTACAACTACTCCTCGGGAGTTAGGCCGAGTACCCCCCTTGGCCAAGGAGTAACCCGAATAGGTACTCAGCCATGGCAAATACCGAACTTCTAGATAATAAAAGGTACATTAATTATAACGAACAATCCACGTTAACTGTAATTAAGAGATAAGATCCATTATATCAACCCAATAACCTAGAAGGCCCATCAGGCCTGAAAACGTCACTATAAATACAAAATTGATGGGACTGATGGGACAAGTATGATCATTTAATACTACAATGATTATTGTTCTAAACCGAATACTCACTTAAGTGTCAAAGTGCCCCTGCAGGTACCCTCCCCATCACTTGGAGCAAGGATTTGGACAGTTTTACTTAGAGCCCCAAAGGAGACTAGAGATAAGGATTTAGACAGTTTTATTTAGAATCCTTGAACTTAGCCTACATTAACTTGGCAAGCCCAATGGCTTTGGAAATAGAATGAGGTTACAATAGCATTATTTTATTCTGTATTTGTATCAATGAGCCCGAACACACCCTTTGGCTCCCATTACAATCGAGTACCCTCTATGGCCCCCATTACAATCGAGTACCCCCTTCGGCCCTAGTGGCGACCGGACAGGTGAACTACCCTTCGGCCTTCAAGAAAAGCCACACTAGGCCTAAAACTGATTCACAAACACCCCTTTGACTTCACCCTCGCTTGAGCAATAAACATTGGTTACAACTACTCCTCAGGATTTAGGCCGAGTACCCCCCTTGGCCAAGGAGTAACCCGAATGGTACTCAGCCATGGCAAACATCGAACCTCTAGATAATAAAAGGTACATTAATTATAACGAACAATCCACGTTAACTGTAATTAAGAGATAAGATCCATTATATCAGCCCAATAACCTAGAAGGCCCATCAGGCCTGAAAACGTCACTATAAATACAAAATTGATGGGACTGATGGGACATGTATGATCATTTAATACTACAATGATAATTGTTCTAAACCGAATACTCACTTGAGTGTTGGAGTGCCTGTAGACACCCAATTTCGTCCGGGAGGCATACAAACAACAAGATAGGACATCAGAGGGCCCAAAAGCCCAAATCAACTTTTTTTTAGTGGCCCGGAACGGGCCGTTCCAAAAGTGGAACGGGTCGTTCCAAAAGTTCGGAACGGGCCATTCTCGAATTGGAATGGGCCGTTTCGAGGCTTCTAAATGGCCTAAAAATTGTATGTTGGAATGGGCCGTTCTAGACCAGAATGGGCCGTTCCAAACCAATCAAATGGCCTATAATTTGGACTCTAGAATAGGCTGTTCTGAAATCAGAACAGGCCGTTCTAGTTTCCCGGAATGGGCCGTTCTGATTTCAGAACGGGCTGTTCTAATGTACAAAATAATATATAACGTTCAGATTCGGAACGGGTCGTTCCGAATCCAGAACGGGCCGTTCCGGCCCACATCTGATGCCTATAAATAGGAATCTCGGCCACAGTTCTGAGGACTTAAAAAATTTCGTCTAAAACTCCCTAGAGCTCGAAATTTCTCTCTCTCTCCTATTGTATTTCTTGAGTTTTGTGAGGCAGATTGTAGTGTGAAAGGTTGTCACAAAGCACCTAAAACTTCCATAGTTGAAGATCCAATAAAGCTTGTTACGAGGTATTACTCATTAATCTCTTGTTCTATCTTTCTCTTCTTTTATTTTACATATTACTATAATAAACGCAATTATGTAGATATCTTAGGGGTTCACCGTGTAATTTAATTTTCATGTAAATAATCATTAATAAAGGGGATTAAATATTTAAACTATTAATTCTTATTACGTTATCTTCATCATAGGGTACCGATTTAGGGCGTTGTAGGGGTGCTTAATACCTTCCCTACACGTAACCGACTCCCGAACCCAATTCTGGTTATTAAGGCCATTATTGGACTTTTAAAAATCTTTTCTTTTTTCCAATGTTTTGAGTAAAACATTGGTAGCGACTCCATGAACTTATTTTCAAAATCATTGATTAAGGATTAGTCTGGCGTCCGGGCATTCCTTAATTGATGAGATTTTCAAAAGGATGTCTAAACCATAGGTTGCAAGATCGGAAATTTTCGGGTTGCGACAGATGGCGACTTCACTGGGGACGTTTTAAGAGGGTCAGACCCA